CGACAGGTGCGATACGCAGTGCATATTCATGACTCGCCTCCACCTTTGATGTATTCAGTCTGTTTTGATAACGATGTCAAGCACCGCCTCGTTAAACACATGCGTGCCACTTCAGTACACACTCCATGATATATGGACCAAACGTGCACATTACTGCTGCAGTTGTGATCAAGCTCAGCAGTTAAAATCTCTAAATGGTGTTTATCGAAAATGTTGACATGCCAAATGTATAACAAAAACACGTAATAGCAGGTAAAGCGTTCAATCAGCAACTTAGCTCCACTTTTTGACAATATTTCTGTGTGTGTCGTACAATATGCGTTCGTAGTTTAGTAAATCAGGTTTAATCATTTTTTTTTAATTTAGATATCTGAGCTCTCTCTCTCTCTCTCTCTCTCTCTCTCTCTCTCTCTCTCTCTCTCTCTCTCTCTCTCTCTCTCTCTCTCTCTCTCTTTCTCTTCTTCCTATCCTATCACAAAACATTCGGCTTACAAGACAACACACGCAACTTGCGCATCGCACACTGAGTGCCAACTTTGATCAGCGCTACTGGTGTTAACACATTGACTCGACCGTTCTTCACCGCCCTAACCCGTACACCGGCCCTCCTGTCATCAACTGACCCTCATGTGGTCAGAATACGACCGGACGTGGTGCCTCGGGTCACAAGAGGTCACCCGAGGTCACCAGAGGAACGCACGTTACCCCAGACTGGTCCGGTTGTGGGTTAGACCACAGACAGCGTTAAAGTCGCCGGTGCTAGACCGCATGCAGCGATGCAGTCTACAGTGTGTATTGGCGCAAACGGGAGCTACTTGCGTAGGTGTTTTCTTCAATGCTTTCACAGTTTTAGTTCACTTGAACCGTTGATTTAAAAAAAAAATTAAATATGCTAAGAAAGCAGCTATATAATTTTGCCCATTTGCAAACGATTCGAGATTTTCTAGACAAATGATATTCAAAGTCGTTGTTGCGGTCCCACTTATCAGGGTAGTATTTGACATTCATTCTATCATAGACATCGCTTGATCATATTGAGCAACACTACGACCCCAATCTACGTCCTCCTTCAAACCCGTGCGTGACATATGTCACTGCGACCACCTGTTTCTTACATGTTTATCGGCTGCCCAGTGCGGGAGCTACCTCACAGATAGATTGGGCAGTCACTGCTTGCGTAATGCTCCTGAAGAATGAATTGCCAAGTGTCCGGCGACCGGCTGGTTGATGCTGCCGCACATTGAAAACCTATCTTGGTACAGTGCTATGAAAACGATGAAAACCCCTTGGCAGTTGTCTTCTTGTTGTTGACCTAATATTTAGCCAGACAGCCGCTCTGTAAGTGATTTTGAACCACTGGGATCTAGAGGAGAAATTATATGGTCGCCGCTATTCGATAGTTTTACAGATAATCATAAAACCGCCACCTCAAGTTCTCATTTTAACCAATTTTGCTCAAAGACGGTCTCAAGACATTTTTCGGGATGATCTCAAAAACTTATTTCGATCGTTAGAACGGACTCTATGATATGATAAAATACAATGAACTATGATAAAATACAATGAACTTATGATAAAATACAATGAACTTATGATAAAATACAATGAACTGAACTGAACTGAACTCGTGCGTATAGAAAGCGATCGTGGAAGGCGTCACATGCTCCCACGTGGAAGCCGAACAATTATAGCTGTCGCTCGGGGCAGTAGCTCAAACGGGACTTCGATGGCTGATCGTGCTTATCAGATTTGGTAGATTACATCGGGAGATATGTCCACACAGTACACAGCTGACATGAGCAGAATGCTGGAGAAAGTTGCTCCTGTTTGGGGATGTAACTGCATGAATATTGGATAAACTTGTGAAATCCATATGAAAACCATCAGTTTCCATTTACTGTGCCCGTCTCCCTTTGCTCTGTCTTTTTCTTTGCCTGTCTTTGACTTTATCTTTGTATCTGTATCTTTCTCCCTCTCTTTCTCAATCTCTCTCCCCCCTCTCTCTCTCTCTCTCTCCCCTCTCTCTCTCTCTCTCTCTCTCTCTCTCTCTCTCTCTCTCTCTCTCTCTCTCTCTCTCTCTCTCTCTCCCTCCTCCCTCTTATCATTTATTACATATTACCCAGACAGCTCTGCGGGACACCCGTCCTGCCAGTGAGTCTCTAGGACCCTGGGAAAGTCAGCAGAGTCAGAGTCCGTGTGGCGAATCCCTGGTGTGCCGAAACGCTGCCCCCAACGGTGCTGCGACGGCTGATGGTCCTATCGGCCAGCTAATCTAGCTGTTATTTACCCGAGATGCAAATAACTCGTGAAAAAGAAAGACAAGGACCAGTCCAGAAGTGAAGGTATTCGGCAGTGAAAGTGCGCATTCCGAAAAATGTTTGTTGAGGTTGTGGTAAGCGTAAAGCATAACAAATATTGTTCCGTGAAAATCTTGAGTAGCATTGAGTATTATAGTAAAATCTACGCGCTACCTGGACACTCTTGCTGTCCAATGTCCATGTGAATGTTTCCCATTTTGACAGGGTCTCTAGAAAAAGGTCTGCTCGAGCACCCCCTGAAACCGTACTTGGGTACCGATATACCGCCCCTGGGTAGATCGGGTCTGTTTACGTTTCAAATGCAGCCAAACGTGACTAGAGGTGGCAAAAGGTGAAAATTTTCGGAACCAGACTCGAACCAGACCCGATTGGACATTTCTGGAACCAGTCGGACCCGGTATAAGTTGGCATCGAAACCAGTGGGACCCGTTCCCCAAAAGTCAACTAACATGCAAACTATTTGCAGGTATCATTAGTTGCATTATGTAAAACAGCCTGTCCCCATTGGGAATAGTTATGAGCTACAGTGCGCAAAGAAACATACATGAGCAAATGTTTTCTTTCCATTCACTTTATATTTTGCAATCATGTGTGGTGTGCAAATGTATGGCTTATGGCAGGACCCGGTTGGACCCGTCAGAAAATTTCCAGGAACCGGTCTGGATCCATATATGGGTGCAAACTGGTTCGTTGGACCGGGTCCTCGGGTCTACATTTTGCCACCTCTAAACGTGACACATTTCAATCTTTTTAATGTAACTGCATTAGGTATAATGGAAGGTGGGTTTTAGTTGTATGTATTGGCGATGTTTTTTTTTCTCTCTCCCTCTCTGAAAACTTACATGCCTGTGCAATCTGCAGTATTTCGATAAAACAGGCTCGGAATTTAATTGTCTTGTAAGAAGCATTCGAAACCATGCTGCAAAGCACCACAATGATTTTCTAGTTGGAAATCCGTCAATGTCATTATTATTGCGATACTGTTTCCCTTTCACACAAACGCAGCCCACGACTCTGTCACGATTCTTACGCTTGTTCCTACGCCTTATACACACGCTGTCACATGTAGCCGCAGTAAATCCGAGGATCATTATCCTAATACCGCTCTAGTTTCCGGTGTCGGGCCGGGCCGCGCGCGACTCTACCGGACGCCCGTCACAAGGTCACGAAAGATCGCGAAAGGTCACGCCCCAGGCGTGAGCCGGGGTAAACGCCGCGCCATACGCCACGCTAATTTAGCGGACAGGCGCTCAGCCCGGCACAAAGAGGCGTGGGGGTGTCTTACCGGGCGACATTTGATGCGGTGAAAGTTGATGAGGTTGTTAGAACTGATGGAGGTGGATATGCCACGTAGGAAGTTGTTTTGAAGGGGTGTACACCTATGGGTGGATATGAATTACAGAGAAATAGGAGCAGTGAAGTACGGGGTTGTTGGTTGAGAATTATAGCTGGCAGTAGGCGAAACAGAGTTGTCAGACTGAGATTAGTGTCACGGTATGTCAGAGTGATGCATGTGGGGTAGCTGAAGATAGGTATGTTTGTTCAGGTTGATTGTGGGTTCGGCTTTGTTTAAAGCCTGTAAACCCTGAGTAAAACCCGACATGCAGCTGTGTTTGGAAAACTGTATGGCTGTTTAACATATTTTTGACGGAAACCTCTTACCAATGAAACGTCTGAAATGAACAACCATTTAATCTAAGCAGATCACAGGGTTGCAGAGTTGTAAGTTCCTCATTATTCCGGAGCTGGGCCATTCCATACGAGCCAACTTTTGGAAAACGATGAAAGCTTTGTCATGATTACTGCAGTCCAGGGATGATTTTATTGATAAATTTGAAATATGTTTGGTTCATACCATATGTAGATCTCTGTAAGCCCCAGAAGTTTCAATGAAAGCAGCCTACATTCATTGACCTCCCTTACATCTAGGACCGTTTTAGCAAATCATTCAGCCTCACGAAACAAATGTTTGCTGGTAATTGCATGAACCGTAATAGTAAATCATTCAGCCTCACCGAACAACTTAATTATTGCATGAATCGTAAATACTTGTTTTGTTGAGTATTCCATAAATCGTAAAGGCTTTTTAGAAGTAGCAAAAGTATGAGACATTACGCGTTGAGACCATCCAAGTTGTGTGTTTCTTTGTTCTCGATTTTTGCTAGACTGAACGAATCGAACAATAGAACACGCAATACCCACAGGATTCCACACAAGCGTGGTAGGAACTTAAAAGGTTCCGCCCTTAGCATACCGAGAGCCCAGCCATTCCACGAGACATAGCTTACTCAGATAAAATACCGAAGAGGAGCATAGTTCACTGGCCAATCACACGACTGAGACTGACTGTGACTGACCTTGACTGCGTGACTGACGGCGAAGCAGTTGTTTGTCATACGGGCACCGGGAACGCTCGCTTCGCTGGTTTGTTGTTGGTTCTTTGTTGGTGTGATGCTACATTTATGGCAATACCAATAGCTGATTTGGACACAAATATCATTTGAGGTTCAGACTCCCCCTCCCCCCCCCCTCTCTCTCTCTCTCTCTCTCTCTCTCTCTCTCCCCTCACTTCCTCGCCAGTCGCCACATACTCTCTTGCTAAGGTGACACAGTATGGATGATCTAAAACGCATGCCCACATGCTATTGCCGATCGCACAGCTAACAAACTTCTGTCTATTTCAGGTGCTGAATTTAGCGTGATCGTCAGACGCCCATCATCTCAAAATACCGCCCGAGGCGCGGACACCTGATCAGCCCCAACTAACGAGAACCAAACGCCCTGCGGCGATCATCACGTGACCCCTAACGAGCGGCGTGTATCAGCAGCGTGAGAGGTCACGTGACAGACCAACTAACGAGCTCCAAGCCGAAAGAAAAGCCGTGGTGTGCGTTCGACCGTAGCTAACGTGCTGTGTGTGGCCTACCAGAGACTATTATTTTTTCCGCAGTGTAAATGTGAGGAGGTGTAAATCGTAACGCTGCGTGCGACCTACGGTGAATTTAGCCTCGGGCTATAGGTCATCTGACTGATGTAGCTATAGAGAAGACAGATGTGAAGGTATGCTCTTCGAGCAAGGTTTGATAAAAGTGAACAAAGTGTCGTCTTCTTAGCCAGCGAAGAAGTGCAGAAAGAGAAGTGATCTGAAGTGAAGATGGATTTTCCGTTTGTGTTCTTCAACGGGTCGAGAATGCCGCCAGGATTTCCAGCTATGTAAGTAGCATGTTCAATCCTCTGCAGAGGGTTGAACATGGGATTGCACAGACGGGGTAAAACTTAAAATCACAGATGGATGTTCATGGACTTTGACACTAAAGAGCCAATGATCATGTTTGCCAGACGGGATACAGAGGCTCATGCCTCTAAAGATGATCATGTTTGCCAGACGGGATACAGAGGCTCATGCCTCTAAAGATGATTTGATATAACGTCACAGCGTTTTTCTTAGATTGAGTTTACTTTGCCGTATATCGAGTGTATGATCTCGCAGCACGCGTACTGTACATACAGTGTACCTACACATATAGCTTTTACAAAGTCATGACATCTTATTAATCTCATCGGTTAATATTTTCCTCATATCACAACGTGACTTGTATGTACCCTTATGTGTTTCAGTGTGTTTCAAAAGAGCACACAGTGAAAATGCCCACTGTTCAACTATGCGGTCCAACACTGCATTAGCACGCGCAGTGGAAGGGTTGCGGGTACTACGCCCAGTGGAAGGGGGGGGGGGCGGATGTCGCCCCCCCCCCTAAGATCTCAGCTCCCACTGGAGCTAGAAAGACGAAATTTGGAGGGTAGGTGGGGGCCATGGGGAACTCTATTGTGTGTGAATTTCATGACCCTAGGTCAATATCTTCAAGGTCAAATGAGGTCAAATGTGGTCAAATCTGCCATATTAGCGACTTTTTTGCGTTTGCACGCCGATAACTCAAAAAGGTACCGGCCGATTTTTTTAATCTTTCACTATACGAAAGAGCAAACATTTGTGAGTATGTATGGTGAATTTCTAGATAATCCAACAATAAATATGGCAGTTAGAAGCCTACGAAGGGTAAGATGTCGCCGGCTGAGGCGGCAATTGGCCGACGCGGGAAACGCGGCAATTACAATTTTGTGTTTACACACTCATAACTCAAGTTGTTACCGGCCGATTTTCAAAATTATTTGACCATATGATTGCCTCTACATTTCTCAGTCTTCTCACCGAATTTGACGCGAATCTAATATAATCAGCGGTAAGGAGCGCGATGTAAAGACGGAACCATCCCGCCCCGGCACAGTCTACAATTCAGGCGGCGCGTAACGGCTAGCGCCGGCCGTCGCGCCGCCGCGCCGCCGCGGCGGCAGGATGTTTGACTTTACACCGCTATTACCAGAAAAGTTGTGAACCGATTTTCTTACTTCTTGCACGAGAAGATCCGCAATTCAATTCTGGACAGGTAGCCGAAATTTCACATTGATATTATGCTTGCGGCGCGAGTTATTAGCGAAAAACAGGAGGGGTGGGCGAAATCCGCCCCCCCTTCCACTGCGCGTGTTAGCCAGTAAGCTGTAACAAGCTTGGATCTACCGGAAAAGATCAGTCCACTAAGCCATTCTTTTGAGGATGTAGTACGACTATCTCTTTGTTTATCACGTCAACTGCATGTGATACATGGAATGGGATTCTGGCAACTGTCTGTGGTGGCAGGAGGATGACGTAGTTTCAGTGTATATCCACAAACGCTTCTTCATATACGACTGTCGAAATTGGAAATTTGTTAGCTGGCAACCTTTCATATAATGTCATGCTGTCTTTTTATCAATAATGGCTGAACCAGCCTTCCACAGAAAAAATACCTTTCTTTATCGTAAATTCCTTATCGTTATTTTGATATTCCCCATTTTGACCGGTTTTCATTACGCTAACTCTGAAATTTAGCCTTGATCACGATTTAGCCTCACCTTACGCTAAGTTACTGGCTAATATCTGCTGAGTTTGCCTCCGATTGACTAAACATATAGTAAGTCATGACAAAATCATGCTTATGCTCTGACCCCCGCTGAAATGATCCCCATGGCTCATCCAACGCTCATTACTAATCGCACACGTCACATGGTTATTGTCATTTGTGACAAATTCTTTGTCGCGTGCGACAAAGCATTTGCTGTAACAGAGGTACAACAGTGTAACAGGTGCACCTGTTGCACCTGTCACATTGTAACAACCACCACAACTGTCACACCCTCTCCCCCCCGCTGTTTCCAGCTCTGAGGAGAGTGAGGAGGTGATTTTCGAGGACATCAAACCGCTCCGATCGACCCTGTGTCTAGGACCCGGCGTCAGCTTTATCGACGATATCGACGACCTCGCCGAGATTCTCCGAGTCAGGTGAGAGAATAGAGCGTAGGATTGTGGGTGTCGGTGAGAGAGATTTTGTTCGGTGAGATACCAAGTGTCAGGTGAGATATTTGACGGTGAGATTCTGTGTGTCGGGTGAGAGATTTGACGGTGAAAATCTGTACGTAAGGTAGCCTTTTGCCAGCGAGATTGTGTATGTCAGGATAAATAGTCAGATTTGTTGAGCCTGTCTGGTCTCTCTAAATGCACAAATAAATACATACCTACCTACTGCAAGAAGGAGCAAGAGGAATGAATAGAAAGTCAACGGGTAAGAAACCGGTCAGCTGGCCAATGTTTAAGGTATTGAGGCTCAGAGGCGGATCCAGCTCAGAGTTTTTTTTTTTTTGGGGGGGGGGGGGCAAACCATAACAATTTATCTATTCTTTCCATGCCTTGTCCATAGGCGTAATGTTAAAATTATGCCGTTTGGGAGGGGCAAACCGCAAATGCCCATTTTGCCCCCCCCCCCCCTTGGATCCGCCACTGTTGAGGCTACACGTGCGCATTTCTTTACAACACCGTAAGCGATAAAACAGACTTAAAAATTGATTATAGCTCGATTTGCCCAAGCCCCCATGCCCGGCGAGACCCTGTATAAACGCTCCACTCCAAAATGGCCAACGGCAACGCGGTTCACGTCACAACGCACGCCGCTGGTGGGATCTTTCCCTGAGCCGAGCAGATGTTTTTCTCTTGGCTTTCCTGTCATATGGGTGAGCACGTGATCAATCGTCCACGCACCTGGGAAAAGACAACAATAGAGACCGCATTCCACGCATTCCCTTGCTGACGGCTTGTGTTGTGTTTCCTGGCGGATAGATGAGTAAGCATTAGTACCAATTTTGGCCACAGAGGCCGCTAGCGTGCAGAGCAGTTGCCGTTCCGCCGCTGAGGCGATGTGTTGTCATCTCTAGTTCATAAAGCGGCCGTCTGGTGGCGCTGCTGTAGCCTAAGTGTCGAGCAATGGGGTTTGGTTTGAGTTCCCACATGCAGTGGTAACCGCAGGGGCGGTTCTCCCATATAGGCAAGGTAGGCAGTGCCTACGTCAATTGCCGTCTCCCCTGCGTCTAAATCATCCCTATATCGTGACTTTTGTTTGCTTGATTGCTTTTGTTAAAAAATCTTTTGTTTCTCGTTTTTCAAAATGCGTTGAAACGACAGAGAATTTCCTAAACTTTTCAAAAAAACGTCACATAAAGATCGTACTATAAGAACATTGACGAAAACCTTTGCCTAAGTTGTGCCTACCTCGTCCTACTAGATTATCGACTATTGCCATGCTGAGGCTATTGAGCCTTTTGGTAGAAAAGGTCTAGATGGTCGGCACATCAACTAGGTGCTACCTTCTAACTCTCAAACCTAACTTTTTAATATGTCCATTTATCGTAAAATAAAGCACTTTTCACTTTATCAATTTTTATCATAAGTTCAGCGTACGTAGCGTTGTTATGCTTGTTGTGTTATTCTATTGTTCCTTAAAAATTATATTGAACGAACTAGACTCCTACTGAGAGACTAGTTTGCCTCTGGCGGCAGACGTGTAAGCTCTAGTTAAGTTGATGGTTTTTGTAGATGACGCTGCTGTCGCTGCTTGACGCATCCCGACTAAGCAATAAGGCTGTCTCCCCCTCCCCCTTTTACCTATTCCGTATTCAGCTTTCCTGCCTTACCTACCAAGTGCCTACCTACTTTCAATAGGTCAGCGCCGCCCCTGGGTAACCGACTGGTCGTCCTCTCACTTTTGCATGGGTTGTAATCGCTCGCATTGGCGTTACCTAATCGTTGTCTAGCATCGACCTCGCTTCGCCCTGCCCCTTCGGTAGGCGGTGGCATTTTGTAAACTAAATGAAGATCAATGGAGAGTGCCTCAGTAGGAGTCAAAGTTGTGATTGAAAGCGGTTGATTTCAACGATTTAGCCATTTTTGGCCAAGATCGGTTTAAAATGGAAACAATGATCCGGATCGAATGCATTCCGACATACCCACTGGGTCGAAATAAATTAAAAACAGAAAGTGTTACAGGAAATGTATTCACTTCCTATTTGTGGACCTTGTGTTCTTTTTTGCGTTTTGCTTATAAGGATACAAAGAAAAATATGATTGTGAATAAGATTGGACAAAATATGATTGAAATGATTGACTGAAGCTTGCACCCATACTTATGAGCAGTGATGCGGAGCCGTGAAAATTTCAGACAGCTTCAGCTCCGGCTCCGGCTTCGGATAAATAAAATCGGCTCCGGCTCCGGTTCTGGCTCCGGTTGAAATGTCATGGCGGCTCCGTCTCCGAATCCGGCTCCGGCGGCTCCGGCTCCGGCTCCGCACCCCTGGTTATGAGGATGTATGCCTACAGTCGCGTCGAAAACAGTTTGCGTGGGATTTACTGCGAGACTTATTGGGCGGTGAAGGGGAGGTCAAAGCGTTAGTCAGTAATCTTTGTAAGCGTGTGTGGCTCACGGAAACTCAAGGGTTTTATCTAGCTTGAATGCCGCTTTGGAAAAGCCGATTGGTCTCCGGCTTACTCTAGCTAATGCTTTGTTACACCACAAATAAGCGCTTTATGTCGCGAGCTTTATTTATTTATTTATTTATTTATTCAAGTGATCACCAACAGGGCGGACCCCCACTGACAGGCGAAGTCAAACTAACACTATACATGATAAACAATGACATACGGGCAAACAATGCAGACTGCAGAGTAAACAGTAGGTAAATATTACGATAAATATAGCTAAAAATATAATGCACAAAAATATGTGGGTTAAGATGAATAAAAAAAAAACGAGCTTGTAAAAAGGCTCTATGACTTTAAAAAGATGATATATGCTTCAAAACATGAGATTTAAAAGTCCCAGTGGCATCGGTAAAAAAATGTGCCCCTGGAACACTGCATAAAAACGAATTGACTAGACATGGTACCCTGTTGAATAAACCCCGCTTCACGGTGTTGACACGTGCACGGGGCTCATAAAACAGTTTCTGTGTGCGGGTCGACCGAGTGGGTATGTGCAGTGCAAAGCTGTTTAATATGTGGCAGCAGTCGTGTCTCCCATGAAACACGTTTCTGATGAAAATCAGATCATGCTGAATTCGACGTGAAGCCAATGACTGTATCCGGAAGTGATTTAGTAAAGCACTGTAATCCAGAGAAATGGAATGTCCGGAGTGCGTGTTTGATAAAAGCCATATTAGAAATTTGTGTTGCACTCGGTCGACCCGCACTGTGTGGGTGTCAGCCGCACCCGCCCATATCACACTGCCATATTCTAAAATCGAGCGTACACTGGAGAAGTAAGCACACAAAAGTGCCTTGCGATGAAATTTGCTTCCCTTCTCACCTGTTTGAAAGGATCGAAACAACAGGCCCAGGCTTCGGTTTGCTCTGCTAACAATGCTGTTCACATGAGCAGCAAATGTAAGCTTGGTGTCTAAAATGATACCCAGGTCACGTATCTCTCCAACATGCTCGAGTTTAGTGGCGTTGATAAAATACTCTGTCCGGACGGGTGCGCGCCTGAGGGTGATCGTCAACGATTTGCATTTGCTGGGGTTTAGGGTGAGTCCCCATCTGACGGACCAGGCCGCCAGACGACCAAGGTCCTGCTGGAGCAGTAGTCCGTCAGATGGCGAGACAATTTTTCGAAAAATTTTGACGTCGTCGGCGTACAGAAGGCACCCGGAATCGACTTCTCGCGGTAAATCATTGATGAACAAAGAAAAAAGTAGCGGAGCCAAAAGGGATCCTTTGATCTTTTAAGGTCATTAACGTTTGTCTAAGCACTGTAAACGCATAGACCGGTGGCTTCCAAGCCACGGTGTGTCTTATCTTTTGCGAACACTGAGAAGCAGCAACCATGCTTGCTCATAAATTTTAGGCTAGCTGCCTTCATCTTGACGAAACTGACAACACAACTTTGCTGCAGTAGACTTTGCTTGTATCCCGATGTTTCACAACCTCTCAATTGTTTGGCAAGCTGGCTAAAGAGATGTGCTCATGCGGCTTATGCGTGCATGCTCTTAGCTTTCAGGTAAACCAAGTTTCAAAGCTCATCTGATTGTAAGTTGAGCTGGTAGTTTAATGAGTTCTAACTTGCTAGAGCGGTATTGGTGTGTAAGACACTTACCCTGCATAGTCTCCCCAGCTCCCGAACCATCTGCAGCTATCTTTGGTGAAGCATAAAAGGCCTAAACTACAACGTATCCACTGACACTTCAAGAAACAACTAATTATCCCAAAGTTGTATGTAGCTCAGAGCCAGGCTATTTAGTCTGACTCAAGGCTAAAGAACTCCTCCTGACCACTGTTCTGCTCAGTAATGTATGCTGACAGACTCAAGACTGATGCAATGTTTCAAAGCGTCGTTTCCGGCTGTAATGAACCCCAATGTGAAGTGCCTCTTGGCGCTTAGGCTGGAATTTATTCGATTCATTTACCAAAAAAAATATTTCGGTCATTTTTGCAGGTTTGTTTAATGAAACTAGAAATAGGATCTTGCGTTTTTTCATCAAAGTTATGATCAACATATGTAGCAATGCATTTGTCCTCTGGGCACCAGCCTTTTCTGTTGATTAACTAAATTCTGTTGTCTTAACTTTTATATACCAGACGAATCAAAAGCCCTTTAGAAATGCCTAGCAAACGCCATCAAAGTCAACGATTACCTTGTTTACGTTGAATAACGTAATGGAGAGCTGAATGCCACGTATGGGTACTAGAGCACTTCACGGATAGGCTTTTTAGGATCCGGCCCGGCCCATATCTGGCAAGTCATATCCAGATCCGCCCATTATCCGCCTTTCTTTGAATATCAGAATCCGGCCCACCCATGGCCCGTATTGCAGCCAAACTTCCAAAAAATATCCGTAATAATCCGTTTCACCAATAACTGGTTTCACCCAAAACTGGACTAACAAATTCAATCTAAGGGACCAGCCAGCCATACATCTCACAGACCATCATGGTTCCAAAAACCATGCTTATAAAGCTAA